AGGCCGGTGACAAAGGCAGTTTCTATTTATTTTATTTTATTATTATATTTTTAAACCCTCACCGAGGATATTTTTTCAGTTGATTTCCAGAGAATGGAAGGGAAGTGGCGGGGGAGACATGGGTGTGGAGAGAGACGCACTGATGGGCTGCTTCCCACACACGCCGATTGGGGTCTGGGGGACAAGCCTGCAGCCAGGTCCTGCCTGGACCGGGACCAGGACCGAGCCCCAGACCCGCTGGTCTGACACTGAGCACGCGCCAGGGCCGTTCTTACTGTTTAAAGACGGTATTTCTCCTCCTGCTCTATTTGTCTAAAGGCGTAGTCGCCGGGATTGGGAGAGGTGAGAGCACTTTCCAGGGAAAACCCTGGCGTGGGCTTGAGGCGTTAGAGACGGAAGTGGGGAGGCCTGTGGAGCCCCTGCGGACGCCCTGGGGAAGGCGCTAGCTGCAGGGACCGGTTCCGCCCGGGCGGAGCCGCATCCAGACCCGCAGGCAGGGCTGGCAGGGTGCATGGCCCCACATTAAGATGCGTTACACCAGGACCCAGGCTCAGGAGACAGGGGGAGAGAGAAATAGGAACATCAACGATGAGAGAGAGTCATTGATGAGCTGCCTCCTGCACGCCCCACACTGGGATCAAGCTGGCAACTTGGGCCTGTGCCCTGACCGGACTCGAACTCTGACCTCCTGAGCCACACCTGCTGGGCTGTGCTCTTTTGAATTAATATTTTTATATTCTCTCTCTCCCTTCCCCTCTCTCTCTCATATTGAAGTAAGACAGGCACCTAAGTACCCAAACCTTAAGACTTTGTTCATATACGTGTGTAGCCACCACCCAGCTCAAGACCTGGGACCAGCTGCCGCCGAAAGGGCCCTCCCATCCCCCGGACACACCAGCTCCCAGGCGCCCGCTGCTCTGGCTTCCCTGGCACAGAGAGGTTTGCCGGGTGCCATGCGCTTTCCTGGGAGCCTGGCTTCTCTCCCAGCATCGGCCTGGGAGACCCTCCGCCCCACGCCGTGTGACAGCCGTTCTCTTCCTTCCTGGGCTGTGTCCCCGTGCGACTATCCTGCAAATTCATTCATTCCGTTGGCTCTGGATGGTACCGGGTGCCTCCAGGTTTGGCTGTCACACTCAGTCTAAGAAGGTTCCTATGGTGTCTTTTGTGCCCGTATGCGCTCCTCTCTGGTGGCAGTGGGTCGCTGGGTCGCTGGGTCAATGCTCGTTGGCTCTGGCAGGTAACTGCGAGCAGTGCCCAGCACTCTGCCTTCCCGACCCTTGTGGTGTTGCCGGCCTCTCCGCGGTAGCCCGCCTGGCAGCTGTGCAGCGGGTCCCTCTGTGGTTCCTCTTGCCCGGCTGCTGGCTGACGATGGCGAGAACCTTTCTGTGTGCTCAGCGGACACTGGCATTTCACCTTTGGCGAAGAGGCCGGTCAAGGCTTTAAAGTTGGATTGTGGGTCTTTCATTCTTGGTGACTGACGGGTAGGGGCATCTTGTTACTAACAGCCCCTTCTGGTGACTTAACACCAAAGTCAGGGACCCACCTCGCTGAGCCCTCCTGAAATGGCCCAGTTTTCCTGAGGCCCCTCCCCCCCTCCCTCCGTCCCTCCTTTGGTTTCTTGTTTTTAGACAGAGAGGAAGGGAGTGGAAGAGAGAGATAGAAACATCAGTGATGAGAAAGAATCATGGACCGGCTGCCTCCTGCATGGGATGGAGCCCGCAATCCGGGCATGCGCCCCGACCGGGAATCGAACCGTGACCTCCTGGTTCCTAGGTCCACAGGATATTCAACCACTGAGCCACACCGGCCGGGCTCCACTATCATCTTATCAGCTCCACCACCTCGCCAGAGACCTGTGGCGTGAGGAAGGTGGACGAGGGGCGAGGTTCAGGACCGCCGTTTTTAGTCTGGATTCCGCCACCTCGTTTCCCGCGTCCCCCTCTCTTCTCCACCAGCCTTTCTCCTCCGCGGGGCGCATGCTCAGTACGCGCTGTGCCTGCATTTGGGGATGTGGGTGGATGTGACCGGCTTCGGGTCACCAAAGGAATGGTCTCATTACCTTCCGCCCTGGGCGCCCACGGTGTCATAATATGCCGTGTGCGCACAATGGCTCCCATCTCTCTGCTCCTGGGAATCGGAGGCGGGTGTGGAAGCTGTGCAGGCCCAGGGAGCTCAGAAAGTTGCATCGTGTTCAGGGTGCTCAGGGCGCAGGTGGTCCCAGTCCCCCTTCCCAGCCGAGCGCAGCCCAGAGGGCGGGCCGGCGTCTCCGTGGCACAGGCTGCTGGTCTGTCCTCAGCACGGTCACCCCGGAGGGCGAGGGGAGGTGTGTGCCCTCCTGGCGGGGGGAGGTGTGCGATGGAGAGGCGAGCAGCGACAGAGTGCCTTCTGCTTTGCCTTTGGTGACAAAGGGAGTTCCCTCTCGCCGCCTACACTCTGCATGGCTACCAGAGGCCCATCGAGGTGGGCAGTCATGGCGGCGGGGGGGGAGGGTACAAGTGTCCTTACCCTCCCCCCCCCTGCCCAGAGGCCTAGAGAGGTGATTCACAGCAACCGTGACCACTCACACACTTGCAGGTGTCCTTACCCTCCCCCCCCCTGCCCAGAGGCCTAGAGAGGTGTATTCACAGCACCGTGACCACTCACACACTTGCAGTGGTTTGGGTGCGCACTGCGGCCTCCGGCATCGGTGGCTGCGCGGCTGGCTCCCACATGGTCTCTCCCCTTGCAGGCCGGCTGTGACGGGGAGAGCATCGGCAATTGCCCCTTCTCTCAGCGCCTCTTCATGATTCTCTGGCTAAAGGGCGTCATATTTAATGTGACAACAGTGGACCTGAAAAGGTAAGACAAGGTTCCTGCATTATCGAAATAACGGCTTAAACACACACACACACACGGCGTTACCTGGGCATGTCCATCCTCAGCCAGGACCCTGCGTTGGCCTGAGTGTGGGTGAGCAGCAGTTACAGGCCTGGGTAAGAGGGATAGGAGTTGGGGCGCCAGAAGGAAGCTGCTCCCCAGTTCCTGGTCAGCCATAGCTTCCCACAGGCCCATGAGCTCCACTCCTGGCTGGGCCTGGGGAGAGCCCACTCTCACCTCCGTGTTCAGAGCCGGCCACATGGTCACTGCCCTGAGACACACTCCAAGGCCCCGTCTCCTCTACGTTCTCAAGGGCGGGTTCTCTTCAATGGGGAGGATGCTACGCCTTGGAAACGGAGCTCGGCCCTGGCGGCGGTCACCACACATGAGGAACTGTATTAAAGGGTCCCCCCCCCGGGGTGTGCCTCAGCCAACAGGGTGGGACTAGAATCCCCCCACCCCACCCCCCAGTGAAGGGGGCCCGGGCTTTGCTCTGAGCCTGCAGCGTGGCAGGTCGGTTTGAAGGCAGGAAGTGGGGGGTGGTCGGTGCCGTGTGGGTGGGCCACGCCCTAGGCGCTTGGCTGGAAGGGCAGGAGAGCATGCTGGCATAAGCGCCCTGGAGCCTGGACCCGGAATGGAACCTTCTAGGCCCGCACCTTCCTTTGAGTAGGGAGGGAGCGCAGACCAGTGCGGCCAGGTGAGCCCTGTGCTCAGGCTGAGAGCAGTCCGTCTAGACCCGTGGTCGGCAAACTGCGGCTCGCGAGCCACATGCGGCGCTTTGGCCCCTTGAGTGTGGCTCTTCCACAAAATACCACGTGCGGGCGCGCACATACAGTGCGATTGAAACTTCGTGGCCCATGCGCAGAAGTCGGCATTTTGTGAAAGAGCCACAGTCAAGGGGCCAAAGAGCCGCAAGTGGCTCGCGAGCCGCAGTTTGCTGACCATGGGCCTAGACCTTTCTCCCTGCCCTGGTGGCTCTGGGCCTTGGAGATGAAACACTTAGGACAGCACTCAGGGGAAGTTTTTGCTTTTGTATTCACTCAGAGAAAGACCCCCCACCCCCACCCCCGGTGTCATCCCCGCTCAAGCATTGCTCCTCTGTGACATCCCCATGTCCCCACATTGAATTTTTCAAGGTACCCTAAGCTGGGGACCCAGCACCCCGAGTCTAACTCCGCCGGGGATGACGTGTTTGCCAAGTTCTCAGCGTTTATAAAGAACACCAAGAAGGATGCACACGAGAGTGAGTGTCTGCCGCCTTCCGGGGCTCTGCTTCCAGCGTGGCCGCCCCTCGGCCTCTGTGTGGTTTGGGGTCCCGGGGACCGCGCCTCCTGGCACAGCGGGAGGCCTGTGTCTAGCGATGAGGGAAACGTGCCTCCACCTGGACCTGAGTGGGTTTCAGAGACACCGCGCTTCTAGGCTTGGAAGCTGGAAAGCACCATGTTTTAGGGCAGCGGTCGCCAACCTTTCGGACTGCACGGACCATCAGTGGCCCACGGACCAGCGGTTGGCGACGCTGTTTTAGGGCGAACCACTCGCCCCGTGTGCCGTGCCCAGCTGAACCGGAGTCAGTTTAAGGGATGCTGCCGCCAGGGCCTGCTCCACGATAGGGTTTCCATAAAGACTTGGGAAGAAATGAGTGAGTTCTAGACACAGCAGGGGGGGTAGGCGGCAGTGGGGGGTAGGGGCAGTGAGGGTAGGTGGCGTGGGGGCAGGCGGCAGTGGGGGTTAGGGGCAGCGGGGGGTAGGCGG